ATCGTAACTATCCGAAATAAAGCTCATGCCAATGGCCTAAGTGGTCACCTTTAATATTAAAAAAAAAAAAAAAAACTTTGAGCCTTATAATGGATATTGTATAAGAGAATATAAATAATATTTAACAGATCATCCAAATAATAATAAAATATCACCAATATAAAAAAATTTGAGTAGTCCGTCTCTAAAAGGGGTAAAAAAAATTGCAGATCTTATAATAAACAAAAATGAAAATTTATATGTTTTTTTTATAATACAGGAATCTAGCTTGCTTATATATCAAAGTATTTTTTTTTTATTAAGTAAACCTTCTTTTAACTTTTAATTAAAGTTGTAGGATTAATTTTTCTGATTCTAATGGAAGTAAAATCATCAAAATTGGTTAGACGTATCGCGAGAAATGAGTATGTTTTGATTTTTTACTATAGGGTTTTTTCTTAAGAATGGAATCACATGGGATTCCATTTCTATATAAGGCAATTAGTAAATCTCCGCCGATTTTTACTATGTAATTTATACCCTTCAACTGCGGACTACCTCTTAATATAATTTTGGTCGATTTTTCTATATATTATTTCATGAAGTCAAATAATAGCCGTTGTCTAACTAACTTGGAAGCGTTTGCTGTGATATAGTAGTTTTTTTAAGATCGTGATTTAACAACTAACTACTTGTATGGATCTCTATAACCACGTTTTATATACGTATATCATTATCTTTTCCTTTTAAAACAAGAGATTACTTTTGTCTTTTATATGACTTTATTAATTAGATTATTTTCGTATCATATATCTATATAAGCTTAATATACTTTAATTTATTATGCATTCATCCTAAAATCCCGACTAACACTACTTGGGTCAAAAAAACGATGATGATTTTTTTTTTTTGGGCGGGTCAATAAAAATGGGTCAGGTGGGTCAAAAACAATGTTTTTACATTATTAAACATAGTTAAAAAAAAAAAAAAAAAAAACTTTTAAAGTTGAGATTAAACTTTCAAATTCCAAACACAATCATCGCCAATATGCTCTTCATCCAATTCAATCTCTATTAAACCTTTCAAAACAGCTTCTCCAACAGTTCTTTCTAAATAATTAATTTTATCAGGACCGATCATTTCGTTTTTGTTACGATCCGAGATTACTATCGTAACTGCAGCTGCTCTTATGCTATTTCTTGAATTAAATCCGTTTTGGGTTGTTAAAGTATTGTTACTAATTTTTGTCTTTTGTTTTCCCTCTTTTTTTAATTCATTACTAACTTTGCGTTGAGAACGATATGGGACATCGGTACTACACTTGGCTAAATAATAAAGCATGAAAGTTTCCATTTCAAATGATTCCGCTTCCGGATATTCAGTACGAATAGATTCGATCAGTCCTTTATTGTAATCCTCGAAATTTTCGTCATATCTACCTTGCGAAGAATAAAAACTATCACTTGTAGCATTTAGACCTTGAACTATTTGGCTACCGAGGATTCCAGAAATTATTAATTGTTTTCGAATCTAGGAAATTATATGATTTTTGTTAAAAAGAATAATGAGTATGCATTTTTGCAAAAAAGGTGATTACCAAACTGCAAATCTCCTTGTCTCCATAGAACACTTTTGATATGTTGTACGGCTGTTCTTTCGTCTTTGTTTCACAATCTTGAATTATCTTATTCTCACAAATTGGATAATTGTAATTTCTCGTGACCGCGAAAGAACCTTCTGATATGACTATATCGCCGGTATTAGCTTTACCAATAGAACCACATGTCCCAAGCCTTATTATGATCATGGTCCCGTCTACTACCGCTCTGGTTTCGCGAACGAAAAAGTCCATCATTGATAAACCCTTTTTTTTTTTAATGATAAATAATAATTGAAGAAATTACTGTGTCATTTAATAAGAAAAAAATTTTTCTTAAAGAAACCTACCATCCCAATTCCAACAATGCTAATAGGGACTCCTTTATACTTCCCAGTGATTGTTATAAACCCTCGATAGCTTTCTCGTTGAAATATCGGTGTGTCCGAGTCCAGCAATCTTAAAAATATTTTTGCTCTATTTAGATCACCCACAGTAATTATTCTATTCGCAACTTTTTATTTTTTTTAAAAAAAAGAAATTTTAACAATAAAATAATGGACCGAGATCATCTTAATAAATAATTCATGTACTTTCGCCTCGTTTGATTCCAACATGATAAACTCGACCATCAGCGCTTTTTGGAAAATTAGCGTTAAAGAATTTCTCTTTCATTTTATTTTTTTATTATTTATTTAAAGAAAAAGTAACAAATTTTATGAAATGGTTTACTTTCAACTGAAAATTATATTTTTAAAAACAAATGATTTGAGTTATGTATATTATCCTAAATCCTTTTAATATGAAACATTCACGGATAAAATTATCGAATGATATACATAAGTGGGACCCACCACTATCAAAAAATTATATACACTAGTACAATGCTTACACGAAACCAGCCAAAAAAAGTTATTTTTGGCACAGATATGCATTTAGCAACACGCAACATTAGCAACACGAAACAATAAAAGATATCGTATGATTTTGCAGGTCCTAATCAATTGTCCGTTTTTTACTCATCTCTTTCAACTCCTGTTGTCTTTTATTTAATTCTTCTTCCTCTTTTGACAAATTTGCCAATCGTTTGGATAATATCCCGACACCCAAGAAAATAAGCAACACTCCTACGATGAACATTACATATTTTTTAATGCTGTAACTTCTGAATTCATCGTAATAAATGCCTAATGTTTAAAAATCAATGAATTTTTTGAGTTTATACTAAATTTTTTTTGTAAATTACATACATACCTCCACCAATAATGTCAAAAACAGTCCAATTACAAAAAAATATAGGGACTTGAATTAGAGCATCATACTTTTTTAGTCCCATATTCAGCCAGTACACTTGTCCAAATGCTGTTGTCACAGTTATAATTAATATTATCCAGGAAGGAAAATATGTGAATTGGTTATTATTTTGAAATAGTGATTCTGATAGCAAATTTATTAAAGACTAATTTATGAAAATAAAGTTTGGAGAGAGTGAGTGAAATAAATAAAAGGAAAAACTGGTTTAAAAGGTTCCACGACAATCAATTCCCCGAAAAAATTTCCCCGACAAATAATTTCCCCATTTCTTCGACACTTCATTCCCCGACAGTAATTTCTCCGATAATCATTGTAGAAACGATTGTCGGGGAAATGAAAGTGTCGGGTAATGAAAACGTCGAAGAAATGAAAGTGTCGGGGAATTGACTGTCGGGAAATAAAGTGTCGGAGAAATGATTATCGTGAAATTTTTTAGGGGAAGTGATTGTCGGGGAATTGATAACCGTTTTAAAATTTTAATTCATACCTTGGCAAACAAAGTAGTCATGGTAGCCATGCTACTGGCTAAAATAGCGTATGCAATTGGTAACAAGATTCGTTCTTTCACATCTTTCACGGAAGTTATTGTAGTTATTGAAGTTATTGAATTCCGTTGTGTCGTTGATTTTTTTATGTTTTCATTATTATTTGAAGTGTCTGAAATTTCATTTGATGTATCCGAATCTTGTAATACTTGCACTAATTCTGTGTGTTGACTTGGAGTGTGTGAGTCACTAGAGTATGACGTTGAACTTAAAAAGCTATTTCGTTTGAGTGAATCTTGATGTGTTAGATTCATATAATCATTAGTGAATTTGGAATTATCTCTCATTGACAAATCATTCTCATCATTTTTCGATGATGGTAAAATAGAATTTATCTTTGATACATTTAGCTCGGTTTTAGGTTTGGCTTTTTCAACAAACCGAATAAATAGATAAAGTGAAACTACGAAACATGCTATTATTGATAAATAAATTATAGTGCCTTTACGTTGAAATAGTGACATTAGTACGCATAGATCGTAATCTATACACGAAAAAATTAAGTAAATGAAAGGTATTCAATTCTTGCATTTCATTTAACTTTCTTTAGACCAACCTTGAATCGTGTCACCCGGTACGAAAGTAATCAATACACATCCACCTACAATAATTATAACTCCAATAGTGTCTGAATATGATAACTTTTGTTTGTGAAGTATGGGAGCAATTAATAAATTTGTTATTAATGAGATAGCACCTAATGGTGCTACCAAAGATTGAGGAGCAAATTTTAATGCCACGAAACCCATCATCGTACCACCCACGTAGATGGATAGACCCGTTACCCAGAGCTATTTCGAGAAGAAAATTTAAATTTAGGAACAAAATAATATTAAGAAACACAAACACAAGTTGCAAAACATACCGGAGACACTACAATCTGTTTCCAAAACATTAGCTTTTCAAACTTTTTATACCATCTATGAGGAGATGCTGGCCTATTACTTGGCGCTGATAAACTCGATTCTCCTGGCACATCTTTTTTATCATTCGACAATGACGCATCGTTATCCTCCGTTCCTCGATTTACATCTTTGCTAACTTTCTCTTGATATTTTGTAAAAGCAAATTTTTGTACATTCAAACCAATATTCAATATAATATTTCCAGCCAAGCATATTATAACACCAATAAGAATATCAGAATTAGATTTGGAACTATTATTATCACATCTCATTACATTATCAGTTGAATTAATACATTGCAAAGATTGATCACATGGATCAACATTTGTGGCTACCAAAGAGCAATTTTCGCCCACTGGTATACCACCGCAAAATTTTTGAGGATCTTTAAAGGTATGATTAGTTGAATTATTCCACACATTGTCACACCGAGAGTTGAGCTTTTCATTACGTGCATCACAAAAAATGTCAATATCAAGAGATTTTTCGAAAATATTATTAATATAGTAGTGGTAGGCAGCACAATCTGATGCATCATAACATGGTTGGCCTTTAAAAGAACAAAAAAAAAAAAAAAAAAAAAAATTTAGATGGCTACATGACGCGTCAAGAATGGATCGATTACACGATTTAACATGTAAATGTTATAATACAAGCTATGCCTAAATATCAATTCGAATTGAAAAATTGAAAATGAAGTTTTTTTTTTAAAGAAAAACTCACCGGCGGCAACAACAAATTTACATTGATTTTGCGCACATAAATAATTACCCAACGCAGGAGATCCATTTGAAGAAATATTTAATTGAATGCTACACTCTTTGTCTGTTTGACATGGAAGACCTTCGATGGTACCATTTTGATCACTGTTTAAGGCATTATTATATGAATAATCAACAGAATGCGCACTGGATACGAATAAAATTAAGAATATGAAGGATATAAATGTATTTTTAAACATTGCTTTTTTTATTAAAAATAATATGATTAGTTTGTTAAATAATTTCGATGAGGTTTTCTCAAAAATTTTTTTTTATAAATTTCTAGTCTCGGCATGCCCAAACACGATAGACAGTTGAGAATAAATGAAGCAAGGAACAGTATATTTTTTTTTCCACGTTACTATCTGTTGTTTACTTTCGCTATTATGTTACGATGAAATACGTAGTATATTGATATTGTTAAACGTAAAATTTTGATGAATCTTGCTAAAAAGCAAAATAAAATATGTGAATATGTGAATATGTGACGATGCAAAATTCTAAAAAATAATGCTTTTTTTTTTTTACACAATGATTTAAGGATTACCGCTACTCAAATTATTAGCGTTTGTTTCTGCTCATATACGTAGATTTCATATAATTTCAGCCGATCATATTTAAACATGTTATTCAATAGGGAAATAAAGTAATATAAATACTCTAATGGTTCGTTCTGATTTTATGAGAATTACACAAAAATGTACTTAAATCTAAATAACCAAGCATAAAAAGTTAGTACACGGATAAAAGAAAAATCGAATAGATTAGTCATTTGGAATCCGATTTTATTAATTAATTAATAAAAAGTCAATAAAGATTAGTCATGTAGAACCATATTAATAGTCCTTTCCTTTTTTCATTGTATATTTGATATATATCTGATATACTGTAGATAAAAATTTAGCGATCCCGTGATTATTGCCCAATCAGATTGTAAGATCCTGTATAATATTGTATAAATGCACCAAGAAATTAGAAAAAATTCATGGAAACGAGCTTTCAACCATTATACAAAAATTTCAATGTTTGTACTGTACGTATCAATATGATGAACGTTTATTTAGATTAACAGTGACCAAATGATAATACTTAATAGGTAAATAAATGGAGGTCCGAAGGACTTATCACGGATCAGTCCGACAATGGGTATTTTCGGAGCAAATGTTTGTTTTTTATCAGATCAACCAATCAAAACCCTTAATTTGCGGAGGTCACGATAACTCCTGTTGTCAATATTTTGCAAATATATAAAAATTATTAATAACTGATAAAGTTTTTGAGAAATTAATTTGGGGATTTGAGCGTAGGCAAATTCAAACAATAATAATCAGTGTTGAAAATTCGGCACAAACATTTTGTGCAAGAAAATTTTTTTATACAGGAATGTTATTTTATTTTTGTGCAATTGCAGTAATGCCACAGTTGGCATTGTTGCTATCAAAACCCCTAATACATTTTAATCCTTATTATAATTGCAGTGGCACTTTTTTGTAATTTTGTAATAATATATAATATTGGGATTAGCGGAAACTTCGTTTTCCGCTTATTCACATACGGATTCATTAATCCCCGCAATCTTGACATAGTGATCGTAGTACAGTCGACTCTGGATATACCGAACTGCATGTTCTGGAGGATTTTGTTCGGTATAGAATAAATTCGTTATATAATTTACTCTTTCTATACCGAACAGTTATGCACATAAACGGGGTTTACCTCGGAGTTTTGCCAAAAATTTTGCCTTGTCCTTATGTTCATTCATTTTCTTCTCGGAATATTTCGGATCTCAGGACTTCGCAGGTATGTATGCTCATGATAGTTCGTTATATCGAATTATATATACATATATATTTATAGTCCTGGGCAAAAAGAGTTCGGATGCGGTATATAAAAATTTACTATTTAAGTTCAGTATAGTCAGCCTAAATTATTATAAAAAATCTGTTCTGCCTGATCTGGTTCGCTATATCCCGATTTCTGTATAGGCAGGTTCAGTATATCCAGAGTCGACTGTAATCATGAGCTGATCTCAAAATTAATAATAATGATGGCAAGCGCATCAAACTTTATAAGTTTAGCTCCAAAGTCACGATTAATGACTAAAAAACAAATTTGGTTAGTACATATATTATTTATGGTTTGCATTCTTGCCTCAGAGTATTAACTAGCCTAAATTAAGGTTAAAGTTAAGGTATAGTTTAGGCCAATTAGTGCAGATCAGCCAAATAGTTAATATATTTTTTGAGATGCCTCTGTCACCTGAGGCAAATTGACATTCGAGGCATAACCAGTGTGCGAAATTCAATGTTCTCAATGTTCTCCGAGAACACTAATAAAATTTTAAAACCATAATTTATTAAAATATGTTCTCTATGTGAGAACATTAAATAGATTTTTTGATATTATACAAATTTAATTTTTCTATATTTGAGAACATTAAAAATTTTTGAGAACGTTGAGGACTAGAAAAATGTTCTCAGTGAGAACATAAAATCAAAATTGAATTTCACACACTGGGCATAACAATACGTAATACAGATTTATGAAATAATTTTGTTAATATATAACTATATACGTATTCATAATATGCTAATTTATGATCTTGATTATATGTATATGTTGTTGTAAGTGGAAACGGAATTTAAGTGGATTTGGAATTTTATAGTTAAATTAAGGTTAGGGTTAGGGTGTGTATATGACGAAATGGGTTTTTTTAAATTCCTACAACATATATATGATGTATTGTTACGTATCATGATACTATCGTAATAAATTAATAAAGAGCTACAAATTATCGCTTAAAAATTTTTTTTAAATTCTTAGTAACAATAGTAATATTTATTTTCGAATTATTAATACTTCTAAAATACAGAATTACTATTTATGTTTTTAATATTAATTGTCGATCAGAAATATAAGGTATATATATATATATATATTAAAATATATATGAAAAGATATCAAGTCTCGAAAGAAAATTCACGATCATAAAAGAATTAATTATTGTAATTATATATAAATAATTTAATTCGAAATCAGAAACCTGATCCTTAATTCTGAATCCACATTACACTAGCAGAATGTTATTCTATGTCATTACAGTATTACAGTATTTTAAGTGTTTTAACACTAACATTATAATATTTAGATATAATGGCATTACGGTATAACGGCGTTACGGCATTACAGATAACGGCGTTACGGCGCTACGGGTAACCGTATTGATTTACCAAATTAATTATACCACAAACTACTGTATAATGTCCAATGGAGGAAACTATCTATTGAGCTCCATAAACCCCATCGAGGTTCTCCCATTGGATCCATTCCCTCTAATTTCAATAAAATATATATTAAGTAAAGCAACCAATTTAATTAATATAAAATTTTGTGGCAATTACTTTATAATTTTTAAAACTAGACTAAAATTAAGCAATACAGTCAAACCTCTTTATAATCACACACTTGGGATACAAAAATGTGATTGTAAAGAAGTGTGACAGTTATAGAGGTCAAATTTATTATATTTAATAATACTGTTATATAGTTTGTTTTTAAAAATATGCTTATAAAGAAAGTGCTTATATAGTAGGTAACTATAGAGAGGTCAGACTGTACTAGACAACTAAATTATAGCGATAGTAATGACAATTAAATTATAGTAAAGACATCCGGAAATTGTGCATTTTGAAATTCGCAAAAATAGAGAGTAACTACAGTATAACCTCGATATAACGAACCTCGATATAACGATAACGAAGATTATTTCTAATTTTTATGTTTAAATTATCCCTAATATAACGAAACTATTAATAAAGTTTTGATATAACGAAGAAAACCTCCAGCTACAGAGCTTCGTTATATCGAGGTTATACTGTATAGTCTTAAGATTTTAAAGTTTGACCAAATCAATTAGTTCCTAATCATTAGCCAATCAAATGGATTTTCAATAACTAGGGTACTTTAGAAATCGCGATACGTCACCAATATTCGAGAATCTCAGATACAATCAACATTAATATTCTCGCGTTTTTAAATTTTTTTGCCTACAATGAGGATAGAAGAGCTTATTATAGATGGATTTAAATCTTATGCCGTCCGTACTATTATTTCAGGATGGGACCCTGAATTTAACGCGATTACTGGTCTTAACGGTTCTGGAAAGTCAAACATTTTAGATGCAATTTGTTTCGTGTTGGGTATTACCAACTTAAGCCAGGTGAGTAAAACACATTAGTAACAATTTATATCATTCGCTTTCTTGGCACTTAATTAAATTAACTTAGGTTCGAGCAAGCAATATGCAAGATTTGATCTATAAACGTGGTCAAACCGGGGTTAATAAGGCCTCAGTAACTATTGTCTTTAATAATGAAGATAGAGACAATAGTCCTGTAGGTTTCGAGCAATATTCACGTATCAGTATAACAAGACAGGTAGAATTCTTAACATTTATTTTGTATATTGAAGAGTAATAAATACTTATTTTACTAAAATCGCATTATAGATAATTTTAGGTGGCCAAAGCAAATATATTGTCAACGGTCATCGTGCTCAACAAAATGTGGTTCAAAATCTATTCCAATCTGTTCAACTCAATATAAATAATCCCCATTTTTTGATCATGCAAGGAAGAATAACCAAAGTTCTCAATATGAAACCTCCAGAAATTTTAGCAATGATTGAAGAAGCTGCAGGAACGCGTATGTTTGAGGAGAGAAAAGAAAAAGCGTTGAAGACAATCGCAAAAAAAGAAAAGAAACTTGAAGAAATTACAGAGGTGTATATATGTTACTTATATAAGCTTCTTAACCGTCATTACGTACCAAATTAATTGCAGATATTTATTTATAGTTGCTTAAAGAAGAAATCGGGCCAAAATTAGACAAATTGAGAACAGAGAAAAGGTCGTATTTAGAATTTCAGAAGACTGAATCTGATATCGAACGACTGACACGATTGGTTGTTGCATACGAATATACAAAGCATCAGGTTAGTTTAATTCATTGTTATTTCATTAAAAATACTTTGTAGGTAAGTTAATCCTGTATTTGACTATTATTGGTTCATCATTTAGGACAAGCTCGATAGATCAGGAGCCGATCTTGAAGCAAAAAAAGTTAAAGTTCAAGAATTATTGGAATTTAATGAAAGGCTCAAAGACGAAATCACATATTTAGAAGAAGATATTAGACAAACAACATTAAATAAAGAAAAGGTAAATATTTTAATTTCTAATGATTTGTATAATTTATAAGATCTAATATCAACCTTATTACAGGAGATAGGAACCGGTGACAAGATTCAAACGTTAGAAAATAACGTAACAGAGTATTCTAATCAAATAGTTCGAATTAATACAAAATGTGAACTTACTAAAACATCTATTACCGAAGAAAGAAAAAACAAGGATGCGTTGTTATCTGTAAAAGCTGAGGTAATTATTTGATAAATAAAAAATTGATATCAGATCTAAGACTTACCGTTACTTCTTGTAGATAGAGCAAAATTTATCGCAGAAAAGGAAGAATTATGAAATATTACAAGCACAATTTGATCAAATAAAAAAAGACCATGATGAGAAAAGTGAAAAGGTTCGAAAATCAGACGAACTCTTACAAACATTGTCTACAGGGGTTTCAGCACAAGAAGGACACGAGAATGGATATATGGAACAACTTCAAGGTAAATCACATAAAGTATATTTGACTTATGTAAACGAGAATATTTTACCATAATAATGAAAATCTGAAATTTATAGAGGCAAAAAATAATGCTACTCAAGCAAAGACTGAATTGGAGCAAGCTAAATTAAAAATATCTCATCTAGAGAAAGAGCTAAAAGAAAAGGAGCCACAAGCTCAAAAGGCGCAAAAAGATGGCAAAGGACTACTTAGTACCTTAGAATCTGCCAAAAAAACAGCGCAAAACTTGCACGTATGAATGTCTTGAATTTTATTTATTTTGTCTTGTAAATTTAAATTATTCAATATTCTTTCTTTTCAGGCCAATTTGTCGAAAATAGATTGGGATCAAAGTAGAATGGAGGACTTGTTAAAAAAAAAGTTAATCGAAGAAAAAGCTATTCAAGACCTTACAGAGGTTCTACATAATTTAAATTTTTTTTTTGTATAGAAATTTATCGTAATCGTATTTTTATTAATAAAATTCAACATATTTTTGCATTAGAAATGTGAATCTCTGTCTTCACAATTGTCGAACTTGGAATTTGTATATTCCAAACCGACACCAGATTTCGATCGAAGTAAGGTTAAAGGCCTAGTCGCGGAGTTAATTAGCTTGGATCCTAGATTTGCAAATTGTTCTACTGCTTTGGAAATTTGTGCAGGAGGAAGATTATACAATGTAAGTCTAAATATTGAATAGCAGACGTTTGTTCAAGTTGGATAAACACTTAAAAACTCTTTATTGTTAGGTCGTGGTGGATAATGAAAAAATAGGATCGTTACTCCTTGAAAAAGGAAAATTACGAAAAAAAGTAACGATCATTCCGTTGAATAAGATTCAAGCCTTTAAGCTACCTGCTGAGGTTATAAGCAAATTACCTGATATTACTAATTTGATTTTCAAAGTTCGACATGTTTTACTAAAATTAAAGCATAAATTTAGAGGATTGCTACTGCACAAAGGCTTAGTCCAGGAAAGGTGAATTTAGCATTAACATTAATAGGATATGACAGAGAAGTTACACCAGCAATGGAATATGTATTTGGCGGTACTTTAATTTGTGCTGATGCGGATTCAGCAAAGCTAGTTACTTTTCACAAGAGCGTTCATGCCAAATCTGTTACATTAGAAGGTGATGTTTATGATCCAAGTGGTACTCTTCAAGGTGGATCAAAACCTTCGTCAGAAGGAATTCTCAATAAAATGCAGACTTTTAGAGAACTCAAAGATAAGCTAAAATTTCATCAACAAGCACTTGACAAGCTAAAACTTGAGATTGAAGATGCACAAAAGGTTATGCACAAATATAACCAAATAAAGCAACAGTTAGATTTAAAAACACATGAGGTTGCATTGTTGGAGGAACAAGTTAATAAGAGCAGCAGTTCGCAGGTAAAAATATCAATAATTCATTCTTTAATATGTTATCAAACTAATATTATGTATATTTATTATAGATTATTCATGTTGTTGAGAATATTATGTCTCAAATTGCTGAGCAAGAGAATATAATTGTGGAATCTAAAGAGAAGTATAAGGCGTGTCAGATAACGTGTCAAAGACTTGAAAATGAAATGAAGGAGTTCAAAAACAACCGAGATTCCAAGCTAAAAGAAATTCAAGTAAATACGATAATTTAATTATATTTATTATTTTCTTCCAGAAAACTAAATTTGTATTGATTATATAGAAATCAGTAGCTCAAGGAAAAGCAGAATTATCACAAAGCAATCAAGTCGTCATAACTATGAACCGTGATGTTCAAATATTGCACTTAGAAATTAGTAAGTAGTATATGAACTTCTTATCACTTGTTATTAAGTTATTGGAATGATTAGTTTTTTAATTATATTTTGTTCATAGAACAACTTGAAGAAGACTTGCAAAATTCTAATAAAGATATTGAAAATTCGGATAAAAATATTAAACAATTAATGGATATGGTAGCATCAATGGAAACAGAATTATCAGATCTAAAGGTTAATGTTCTTACAATATTAAAGGACCATCTTTATCTGGTTTATTTCATGTCTTAAGTTATATTGTATTCAGAGTTCACTAGATAATGCTCAATCTGAACTGGATAATGAACGAAATATATTGTCGGCTTTTGATGAAGAGATTAAAGAACTTCAAACTGCTATAAAAACGAAAACAGCGCAAATGACCGAAGTGCAATTGGAAATTTCTAGGATTAACCATGAATTAGAAAGGTTTCTTAAGGAAAAACAAACAGCACAACAAGCAATTCTTCAAATGGAACAGAATTATGATTGGATCATACAACAAAAACAGTTAGGTCTATAATGTATTTATTATGTGTACCATTTTTTTATATACTTATATATATTTTAATATCCAACTTTATCAGTCATTTTGGTAAACCCAACACTGCATATGATTTTATGAATAATAATCCGAGTGAATGTAAAAAGATGTTACGACAATTAGAGGAGAAACGCAACAATATGCGTAAAAAGATCAATGCTAAAGTCATGAATATGATCGACAGGTAATTAACTACAGTATTACAGATTCGCCTTACAAGCTCATTTAGCTGACATCACAATTTATTAGCAATTTATTAAAAATATGTACCTGCAACTAATCAAACGCCAATTCTAACCTTACGTGATGTCGGTTAAATGAATTTTCAGTAAAATGACTATCAGTGAAGCGAACAGCATCGATTACTACAGTATTTCTTTATTCTGATATATAAAATTTATTAATACAAAATTTTAGTGTCGAGAAGAAAGAAGCATCCTTAAATCAAATGTTGGCAACTGTATTGAAAGATAAGAAAAAAATTGAAGATACGATAGTATCCTTGGATGATTATAAAAAAGATACGTTACAAAAAACTTGGGAGAAGGTAAATGCGTAAGTATGAATGATATGCTACAAATATATAAATTTCATCAATTAAAGTATAATTATTATGCTTTAAAGAGATTTTGGAGCAATTTTTGCAGATTTATTACCGAATAGTTTTGCAAAACTCGTACCTCCCGAAGGTCAGGATTTGACTCATGGATTAGAAGTTAAAGTGCAACTCGGTGGAGTATGGAAGCAAAGTTTGTCGGAATTAAGTGGTGGTCAAAGGTAAAGCTACATATAGGATGTTTATAGATGAGAGTCAGTAAAAACATGGAACAAATCGTTTTAGTAAAATACCTCAACAGCTACATTAATGTGTTTTATATCTACTGACCTTCATGTTTCATAAACAATATATGAAGTTAATCTTTATTGTTGACCTTTATTTTAGATCACTTATTGCATTGTCACTGATATTATCATTGCTGCAATTTAAACCTGCACCAATGTATATTTTGGATGAAGTGGATGCAGCGTTGGATCTTTCTCACACTCAAAATATTGGACAATTACTTCGAACTCGATTTAAAGGATCACAATTTATAGTTGTTTCACTTAAAGATGGAATGTTTAATAACGCCAATGTTTTGTTCCGCACACGATTCCGTGATGGTACCTCAGTTGTCGAGGTTTGTATTTCAACTATATTTCGGTTGTAAATTTTATACAATATGCTTATACAAAAATTAAATTTTAGGTATCGACTCATTCACGTGCCTAGATCATGTTGGATTAGAAACTGGAACCCTACTGAACGTATATATTATTAACCAATGAAAATGCATGAATAGTCAATAATATTTTTTAATAAATTACTTTGATATCCATTCCAAATATTTAATTGACTAAAAAAATAGTGCTAAACTAAAAATCAAAAATATCGTTATGTCGTCAGTTCCAACCGTATCAAGATCTTCCTAATAAAAATATATTTTTTTATTTTAGTCAATGAGTAAAAGAATATCTAAACATTCAAAATTAATCAATTTTATGAATGTTTTCTATTTAATTTATTCTAGATTTGAGTATAGTAAAGAACATTCATTAAGCCAAATATTTAAACTATTGGAATTTTATTTTATACGCAATAGTATACAAGAATAAAGAGCACCTATTAATCCAAATATTTAGAATAAGCTTTTTAATACATAAGCGTAAAAAATATTTATTGTGGCAGATTAAAATGAAATCGGATTAAAATGAAATTTTTCTATTTTTTTAGGAAAATTTAAAATTTTT